AAAAAAAAAAAAAAAAAAAAAATACATGGTAGATCTTGGTTCTTAATTTTTCCCCATCCTTCTGCCCTCCCTTCACCCCCTCCACCCTTCCCTATTTACAAAGATCATTTGACTTTGGAAAGCAATATTATCTCCTTCCTTTATTGAATGTTCTATTAAATTAGAAAACATTCATAAAATATGCAAAAATATTAAGCATAAATCTTGATGAATTATCAGAAGGTGATGCTTGTGTACCCACCAGCCCACTTTCAATGCTATCCTACACACCCTTCTCACCAAAGGTAATCCCCATCCAGTCTTCTAAAACCAACAGTTAGTTTCACTTGACTTTGAACTTTGTATTAATGGAATCATATAAATTAATTTGTTTTTGTCTAAGTTTTCAGCTGCACATTCTATGAAACTGATCCACTTTATTCAGGAACAGTGCCTGATATCCGTCCATTCTTACTGTCAGGTAGTATTCCATTGTATGAATATATCATACTGTGTTTATCCATTTCACTGTTGTGCCTATTTATGGTCTCCAGTTTTGCAGTATTATGAATAATATTGCCAAGAATGTTTGTATATGTGGGTGCACAGACTTGTACACATTTTAGAGTATATGCCCAGGAGTTCTTGGCTGATAGAGTACACACACATTTAGTATAGCTTATTAATCTTTTTGTCCTGGAAGATGCTTTCCATTCTCTTTCCCAGAAAAATATGAACTTCCAAAAAGCTTGTTCTTGAAGATTTACTAAATATGGTGGGATGAAAGTGAGCTAGTGGGCAGACAAAACCCTGGGGCATCTGTGCTCTCAGCTCTCCTTCTCAAGCGGTGACCAGGAAGGATTTCTCACCAAGAGCCTGGCCCATCAGTGGCTGTGCTCTTACTGCCAAGGCACCTTTTCGTAGGGTAGCATCGGCATCGTTTGCCTTTTTGTCACCGTCTGGGATTTTCTGTCCCTTTCATACTCCGCTCTTGCCAGAATCACATATTACAGTATCAGAATTACACAATGAAGCAAGCTCTGAGCAATTTTAATCACTAAATATTCTTCCTTGAGAAATCCTACACCTACCTCCAAGGAAGCAGTATGCTAGCCATCTGAAGAATCATGCTGACTCCAACTCCGTGCAGCTTGCTCTCTCCTTCACAAGACAAGATTCCCAAGAACTGGCCCCAGATCGGCCCTGGATGTGGCATGACCCTAACAAGGTAACTCTAAGATCAAAAAGAAAAGTAATACTTGTCAGCTGCTTGCACAAGGATTGAATTTATTGAATGTCATATAAATAATACTACTTAAAAACTTAGTGATGGGGCCAGGGATTTAGCTCAGCAGTTCGGTGGCCTGCCTTGTAAGCGCAAAGACCCAAGTTCAAGATCGGCCCTGGATGTGGCATGACCCTAACAAGGTAACTCTAAGATCAAAAAGAAAAGTAATACTTGTCAGCTGCTTGCACAAGGATTGAATTTATTGAATGTCATATAAATAATACTACTTAAAAACTTAGTGATGGGGCCAGGGATTTAGCTCAGCAGTTCGGTGGCCTGCCTTGTAAGCGCAAAGACCCAAGTTCAATCCCCGATACCCCAAAATATTAAATCAACTATATTAACCAATCTTAGTTCCTTACCAAGCTTGCACTTAAGCATTCTTAAGAAGCACAGTTGAAAATATTTCAGAACAATATGGAATATCTCATAACTCCAGTGGTTGGTTGGTTTACTTACTTAATTTGCGGTACTGGAGATTGAACCCAGGGCCTTCCCACTGAGCTACATTCCCAGCCTTTTTTATTCTTTATTTTGAGACAGGTTCTCACTAAGTTGCTAAGTTATCCAGGCTGGGATCAAACCTGTGATCCCCTTGCCTCAGTCTCTGAAAGTGCTGGATTATAAGCATGTGCCATGCATCTAGTTCAAAGTTATTTATTTTTAACTGAAAATTCTTTTATGTGTCTCCATTAAAACAGGTAATAACCACTTCCTTATTAGTAACTAAAATCAGTTTTTGGCTACCTTATTCCTTCGCTAGACCATATATTACTAAAGCCCTTATTTTTTCCAGAAAGTGTGACAATAGTTTATTTTTTGCTCATCTCCATTTTCCTCATATCTGCCCAAGTTCTTTGAATGCTCAAATTCAGGAGTTTCAAATTGTCTTGAGTAATTTAATTATTAATTTGGGTGGGGTTGTTTTCTTTTCTTTTTTTGGTGCCCGGGATTGAACTCAAGACCTTGCACTTGTGAGGCAGGCAGCAGAACCACTGAGCTAAATCCCAGGTCCCGTGTTTTTGTTTTTGTTTTTGAGACAGGGTCTCACTGTGTAGTTCAAGCTGGCTTTGAACTCACTATGGAACCCAAGCTGGCCTCAAACTCTCAGTGATCCTCCTGCCTCAGTCTCCTGAGTGCTGGAACTACAAGAAGGAGCCACCACACCCAGCCTTGAGTAATTTAATTATAATTGGACATTATATAGTTTTTCTCATCTAGTTATTCTTTGGCTAATTAGAAGAGGTAGGTAAGAGCTTGCACATTAGTTTGCCTCAAAACCGATCCTACTTCTGGCTGTGAGAGTTTACTGTGTGTAACTATTACATTTCTTTACCTCTCTGAATAACACCTACTTCAGAATTTGAGGATTAGAGATGACACGTGTTGATTTTCAATAGAAGGACATTACTAGGAGCAATACTTGCAAAAAGCAAAGCCACAGAACACTGCAGTAAAAAAGACATTGGGTCTTACCTTATACATTTCTTTGATTTTGTATTTGAGCCTCTCTGAAGCTAAAGTAATTGCCAGTAGTCACAAATCTAGTTAGTAGTAAACCAGATCTCCCTCATCTATATTCTAATAGAGGAATAATTTAACCACTCATCACCACTTTAGCTTTGAGGCTGGGCTTTATGAACTACATAATCATTCTCTGAATTAATCTCAGATGCAGTCTGATTCTTGAAAAAGCAGATTGAGATTGCAATAGTGTATGGTTTAATAAATGCTAGTATTAGGACTTGCAATTTTCAGAACTATGAACTCTACTTTTACTTAATTTATCAAGGAGGGAAAAGTCAATAAGAAGATGTGACTTCCATATAGATCTCATCCACTGTGTGGGGATTGAGACTGTAGACAGCTCAGGCCAGGAAATAAACTGTAGGTAGAAAAGCTTTGTTAAGCAAATTACTGTGCCTGATGTATATGTCAACCGGGCTAAAATCTAGAGGAGGAACTGTTGGGAATTGGAATGATGTGGAAGCCACTGCTTTAAATGCTTGCCATAAGAAAGTTTTCACACACACACACACACACACATACACATACACACACACACACACACACACACACACACACACACACACACACAC